TATCAAAAATTTCATGAGTGATATATGCGTATAAGCCGCTTAACACATTCTCGATGAATCCATTTTAACTGAAAAGCTCCACTTAATTACGTCACCTAATTAGACACTTTTAATTATAATCCCTCTAGAACACTTCAGCCACAGATCGGTGACTTCCTGTTCCGATCCGTTCAAACCCTCACACTGATCCCTTTAGAGATCCCATCCACCGTCCACTCTGTCCCCCTTTCCCTTCATTGTCCCCTCTTCCCCCACGTGACCACCGCCCGCCTGTGGTCGAAGATGAGCCTCGATGAGTCTACCACCAACTGCAAAAACGTGTCTGTCCCCTTCCCCAGCGGCACACAAAGCCGTCGGAAAACTGCGCCACTGCGTCGTCATCCCCCGAACGACACAACTGGGGCACGAGCCCGACACGCCGCGCAAAACCGCCGGCCAGACGACTTTTTGCACGGTGTTTTTGCAGCATTTTCTTCTGCCGTTGGCTCTGCAGCAGGATGAATTCGCAGCACGGTCGATATCCGGCCAGACATGTTTTTGCACAGTTGCTCCGGCTAATATTCGAGGCGGAGGTGTTTTTACGGATCTAACTGGCACATTTTTGTGGGTATATTTGTTTTTGGGTGACATTGATTGTGCCGTGACCGTGACAGCGGGCCTGCTGATTAAAAATGTTTCGTTTACCGCTTATTTTGCTGCGGCATATAGCAAGAAATACGACAATATTAGCTGTATCATATTCCTCACTACGTGTAAAACAGAAGTTGACCACAGTCAATTCATGAGCTTCATAAAAGGCAATGATCCCCTCGACTTCCCCATCTGCCCCCTCGCGACTCGTCTTCCTCGCCCTGACATATATCGTCTGCGCGCGTCCCTGTCCCAAATGAAATGCAGCACGTCTCGAGGCGCGACCTAGAGCTGCCACCCCTGAAACGTCCGCGGCCCGCGGCCGGGCGCCGGGTGCCATATTTCCGTGAGCAGGGGAGGGGGCGAAGGTCACCGCGTCTCGGTGAAGGGGGGGGGTGACCTCCGTGCACCGTCGGTCACCGGACGCCGCCCGGTGACAGTCACTTGGTGACGGCTGGTGAACGGTCACCGGAAACCGACTGGGGAGAGGGGAGAGGGAGAGAGGGGAGGGAGGAGGAGGAAGTGGAGGCCTTGACTGGACGACCCGCCGCTCGGGCGGGGGTGGTAAGGACGGGACGCTTGAACACGTTCTGCGTGCCCAACAAGTGCTGCACGAGCCACTCAGGACCTTGAAGGGAAGCGGGTCATGGCTGTCTGCGCAGCGCTACCGCGGCTGCAGCGGGCTCGTCAGGGAAGCCTTGTCTGCGACCCGGGTGTCAGGCGGACGGTGGTCGCAGATTAGCAGGTTATCGGGTACGAAGAGAGTGGAGAGACGAATGGTCGACAACGCAGTTCCGCGGCTGGAGCCATTCGATTCTCAATAACTGCAAAGATGCGGCTTCGGTCAAAGCAGTTTCGCGGCGACTCCGAGAGATTTGCCTAAAATGTACATCGGCTGTTTCTTTGAAAATTACAATTCAATTAATGGGCTGTTCACAAACAATTTATTTTATCAGAAGCGTTTTACTCCTTGCCGAGTGTCTTCTACCTTCGTGGGTGCTCCTTGGGCGGTCTTACGCCTCGTGCAGGTAGGTGTGCATCAGGGAACGCACGAAATTGGAAGGTGGCACTCTCGGACTAAACGTTAAAAATCCCTTAGCAACACAAAGTGCTTCTTTTTAGGTTAGAGCTAGCAAGGACACTGATTATTAGGCAGCATTACGTGCACATAATCTTACCGTTGTCTGGGAAGGTGTACGGATAAGCGGTACTATAGCATTCAAGGTTATACTCCAAATGCTTCCTTGTTCGTCGACTGAGTCTTATGAAACCATCCGGCTCATACAATGAAACCCGTCTGAGTTGGTTTGCGTCGTTAGGATAATACGGCACTGTTTTAGGTCCTTGCATGTTGCTAGATGGACATTGCTACGATGCCATCAATTGCACAAGATCGTTTCATGCAAGGAAAGCTACGAAAATGTAGGAAGTACCTATCATAGGATACATGACCTTCTCCTCGGAAAATGACCAAATGAATGAAAATGATTATTTATTGATGAATTGATGATATTTCGGTCACAGACCTTCGTCTATATCGAATTCGTTAAATCGTACAAGGCAAAAGTAGCGAGCATTTCACTCGCTACTTTTGCCTTGTACGATTTAACGAATTCGATTTAGACGAAGGTCTGTGACCGAAATATCATCAATTCATCAATAAATAATCATTTTCATTCATTTGGTCATGTTCCAAGGAGAAGGTCATATATCCTATGATACTTCCTACATTTATCATGCTCCTCGCAGCAGCTCTCAACGATATACGAGAGCTACGAAAAGTTTGCTTCAATGGATAATTTCATCACCGCAATCACGGAATGAGCTAGTGACTTTTCGACCAACAACAGCTTTCCGAGAAATATTACAGTTAATTAAATGGATAAGGTCAAAATGACAATATTAATTCGTGGAGGAGCACACCAATAGATCCCGGATTGGCATTGGTTCGAAAATGTTTTTATCATTTTAATCATTTAATATACCGGCTATAATAAACATATGCGGCGGAACGAGGAGCGCACCGGGGCACCGTGCCCCCCTTTTATTCTGGCATTTTAACATTAGCCCTATGGGCGTTGCATGTAAAGAATGGGACCAAAAGTCGGCAGTGCCCATTGAAGGTGTTTCGCCGCTACTGATAATAAATGTGCCGTTTGCTTGAAATGGAGGTCACAATTTAATTTCCGAAAGTCGCGAGGGCTTTTCTAATCCGTTCAATCGGCAGTCTCGCCTTCAATCTCAAATTTCCTCACACCCCAGTGAGCAGATTCTCTGACGATGCGACTATCCTGTCACCAGGGACGTTCTTGGCGCACCGGTGACATGCTTTGGCGCACCTGAGCCGTTTCCGCCGTACGGTGTAGGTGGGAAGTAGACGGTGACCGTCTCAGTCACTGTTTCAACGATACCGCGGCCCACAGCTATCTGAGGCTGGACAAACAAGCGCGATTGCCATCGGCACGATTTCGTTCGCATTTTTCCACGGTCACTGCCAAGGGTATGTGCTAGTTGTGTCGTGTTTGTAGTATTCCAAGCCCGTGACATTGTTCCGATCTGATAAATTCTTGGAAGTTCTCCGTTTTGTTTGACATGCCAGGGCATTTGACATGAGTTAGTGTACGTTTAAAAGCCTTGAAGAGGACGTCATCGGCTTTTGTTAAAAGGTTATTCCAACGTTAGGTGAGGCAGATGCTTATTTACAATGCACCTGTGCGATTTAATCAATCAGTTAATCAAAAATATATTGAAAACCAATACAATTCAAAATGAACAATATTTATGAGCGATTGGTGCAAATGCTAACGCATAAATCAAAGCACCTCTCGCAAAATAAGGCATAAAAAGACACATTCTCCGACCGCCGACACAGGTCCAGTCTCACCAACTCAACCAGGATAGGATAAGTGTTCTTATTTATGGACAATCACGTACCTAAATATATCGAGAGGTTTATCGAAGACTCATTAAATCTTATATACTTCACAAGATTTATAAAGGTTATCCTGAAGCGGCAAGCCTTCATGACCACAACTGCCCGTGTAGTGGGCGTCATTGACCCCATAGATAACTAACCCTCTCCTATCAGCTGGGTTCGACGTGTTTTCGGCCGTGTTCCCCGAACCCCTCAGTTGGTGAGGAGTCGAGACGGGGTGTCGGTAACGGTGCCACTTCCCCGACCCGCCCGGCGCCGTTTGGAGCCGCCGCTCCTGGAAATCGAACCAGCATTTCCGGAGCGACGTCCGACGCCGGCCATGAACGCCCCCGCTCCCCTTGCCGAGCTGCACCGTTGCTTCTTTGTGGCGTCGGGCGACGGACGGCCCGCGGCGCGATACTGCAAGGTTCTTCGCCACCTCTGCAGTGGTCAGTGACCTCCTGAAGTGCTCCCAGTTCGGGTCAGGCGAGCTCAAGTGACTGGGTGTCGGGACACTCTCAGCTGGTAGTCGGAATCGAGCGTGATCGTGGTCATGGTTATCGAAATCAATCAATGAGGCGTGAGGCACCTCTGGGGGCCGGCCCACCGCTGGTCCAGAGAGCACCTACGTCTGTATGCAGCCCGGGCTTTCCGCTGGTCACGACTCAGTCGGCCACTCGTGCACGTGGTCTGTAATGACTTCCAGGCAGGCTTCATGGCACATGTGGCCAGTCAGAGACCTCCGGGAACCGTCGGCCGTATTGCAGCTCGTGCAGCCGTGTACCGAATGAGTCCCACCGCCCCACATAACCCACACCGTCCCCTGATTCAGCCTCGGTCGGGTCACGCCTGTCCCGTCACTTGTTCACCTCGTCTCACCCTCGCCCGAGCTTTCCAGCCGTGACTCTCATCCTAACGCGCACGTTTCGAAATGCCCGGTGATTCAGACTGGAATCTGGCGCAGTAGTGGGTGTAATGGTGCGTTGACCAGCAGTTGTGTCAGGCTCAGCCCGAGATGAGACGATTGTCTGCGGCTGGAGGCGGGGAATATATCGCCGCCATCGCGAATGCTGATGAGCCGTTTATTTTACTCGGTACGACTGCTCGCTCATTATTTCAGAGGTTTGCGGATATAGGTAAAGCGTAGGTTCTGATTGCGCTTGATACGCGCGACTAGAACCGTGCGTTGCTATTTCAGTTGTATGCGATAGCTTCCGCGTCCATTTAAACCCGTGCGATGATCTATTCTTACTGCATTCTATAAGCGTCCTTAATGACTGTTTGATATGCATCTCGCATTGTTTCCGATTCAGCGCCACGGCTCTCCATTCATTCACCGATCCGGCCGTCCTCGACATTCCGTTTTCCAGTTCGACTCGAGCTCCCGGTTCCGCTTCCGTTCCAACCCCCCCCCCCCCACCGCCCTCTCAGTCGCCATTTGGCCAGACACGGTATGTTTGTTTGTACATAGTTTTCCTGTATTTATGATGATACACGAGCACAATGATACCGGGTGAGTGGGACGCCGCGAGACGCCACTGCTCTCTCTAGGGAGGAGATCTAGTCCGGCATATTCACAATCCGGCCACCGCTGTAGGCCGGAGCGCCTACCGATCGGCATTTGGACTTCAGTCCACTGCCGAACGGAGGCCAACCAGGCAACAAAACCATAAAGCGATATATGTATACAGTGCGCACAGGCAAACGTAACACCTACGACTGTGAATGCACCAAGAGGACGACACGCACACACACGCACACACACACGCTGCGGGTCTGCTCTCGCCAGCCCGTCGGGGACTGAGGTGTCCACCGACGGGCCCAGAATGAATGCCCTGCGGCCGTAGCCGCCTGCCCGCCTGTACAAAACGTCGGCGCCCAACCGCGCCATCACAGCACAGCGCTCCGGTCCGGCCGACCGCCGGCCCGGTCTGACGTTCCCTGTGCCCCGCGCCCCGCGCCCGGCCCCGGCGCCCGCCGGCCGCCACAATGGTCCACGATCGCACAGCTCACGGCCGCCAAAATAAATATATACGACAAGAATTTCGCTCCTCCGTCCGCCGTGTGTGTGCCATATTTGTACTCGCCGACTGGCTCTGTGACCAACAGTTCAAAACAACAAAAATGAAAGTGACTCGAGTTGGGGGTTGCGCGCGGCGCCGGCGCCTAGACGGCGGCCAGGGCGGCCGGCACCTAGACGGCGGCCAGGGCGGCCGGCACCTTCTTGGACAGGTTGAGTGGCTGCATTTCACTGAGATCGGGCGCGGAGCCGGCCGGGCTGGCCGCCGGGGCAGGGCTCCGGCGCGGCTCGGACGGCGCCGGGCTGTGGGCTGGCGCGGGGCTGTGGGCCGGCGCCGGGCTGCGGATGGGCGCCGGGCTGTGCGCCGGAGACAGACGCGGAGGCACCATGCTCACCGAGCCGGGCGCAGCGCGCGCGTGGTGCGGCGGCATCGGCGCCGGCGTCACGGGCACATGCGGCGCGTGCGACACGGGAGGTGGCGGCGGCGCCGTGCGCGACGCGGCGCTGTACGGGCAGGCGGCCGGCGGCGCGCCGCCGATGCCGGCGTGCATGTTGAGCAGGTGTTGGACGGCCTCTCTCTGGCGCAGCTGTTCCGTGGTCCAGCCGCGCTGCGGCGGGGCGCCCAGGATGCGGCTCAGAGTCGGCGTGCGCGACGCCTTCTCGTCATCCACCTCGTCCGAGGACTCGGTCGGCTCCTGCTCGTTCTCGCGCCTCATCCAGCGGAACTTCTTGTGCGGCACGAACGCAGTCTCGAGGAGGGCGCGGCCGCTGCCGTCGGCCGCCACCAGGCTCGGCTTGGAGAGCGCCTGCTTCAGTAGTGGCATGTAGTCGTCTGACTCGGCCTTGATGAATGGCTCCGGTCGCTCGTCGAACAGACTGCGCGGTGAGGAGCACGGGCTGGCCAGGCCGCTGGCAGATGGGCACGGGCTCACCTCGCGCGCCGCCGGGCTCTCGGCCTTGCGTTTGATGGGCTGCGGCCGCGGCTGGAGGGCGGCCACCAGGTGTGGGTGGGAGGCCACTGACGGCACGCCGCTCGGAGGGCCGTCCGGGGACGGTGACGACTCCAGCCGACCGGCCACCGGCGACTGGACGCTGCCCTCCTCACTGCCGACGTACCCAGAGCTGAGACTGTGCGGCGAGTGGTTGGCGTCCCGCACCAGCTCTGTGCCGGGCCACGGGCAGCCGCCCGACGGCCGGCGATCCTCGGGCTCCTTGAGCGAGCGGATCATGTCCGAGTGGAGCGTGTTGAGCGTCTTCAGGTCGTGCACCTTGCGCGCCAGCTGGTCGTACAGGTCGGGCGTCTGCGGGTGGTTGCGCGCCAGCACCGTGCGCAGTGCGGCGTCCACCTTGTGGTGGATGCGCGCGATCAGATCCACGTTACGCAGGCCGGGCCGCTCGGTGGTTAGCACCACGCAGGCGCAGAACAGACCGATCTCGGCGTCACTCAGCCGCAGGGCGTTCAGCTGGTCAGCAAAGTTGAACATGGAGTCGAGCAGGAACTTGGGCTGCGAGCCGGCGGCGAACGCGTCTCGCCGCACCAGCTGACCGTTCAGGCAGACAGCCGTGTTTGTCTGCGGAAGAAGGAAAGACATTCATCAGTACGGGCCGGGCGCGACACGTCAGAAAGCAAACAGTGAAATTCCTCGGCGCTGTCATGGTGAGCGATAATCCAGACCCTATCGCGCACATGTCACTCTGCAAAGGGCGGCGACGGCGGTGGACTTAGGCTCGGCTGAGGGGTTCAGCGTCCGCCGATACGTCGTTCAAGGGCACCCCAACCCCTCCCCGCGCTGCGACAAAGGCGACACGGCTGACCTTGGCCGTCCTGCAGTCGGCGGCCGCATACCGGCGGTACATGAGGCGCCGGCGAGCGGCAGGGGCGCGGCCAGCCCCCCCCCCGTCCCCCCGCTCTGCACATCCGGCAGCCAGGCACCAGCCACCACAAACCGGTATCCGGGTACAGATTATTTTGACTGAGGTTCAGTGCCGGACCTCGTCCCCGTTTCTCAGCGCTCACGGCGCCACTGAGCCCGTCAGCAAGGTTAGGCGATTGCAGCTCGCCTCGGCCGGGGACCTCAGTGGGCCGACTGGCTCGGATCAACCGCAGACAAAGTCCGACCGCCGCCACACTTCCTGGTCCCTCGGTCACCGAGCGGGCGCCCGTCGCCGTTTTCCGGGTGGCCGCATGGCCTCGCCGCGGCGCCGGCCGGGCCGCGCGAGCCCTGCACGACGCCGGTGTTCGCACGGAGCGGGCGCGAGCCGCGAACTCTGGCGGACCCGGGCGCTCCAGTTGGCACTCGGGTTGGCCGGGCGCGAAGGTCGCACGAGCTCGTCTGCCGAGCGGCGCGTGCAGGTGGCCCCTGCAGGGTGCAGCCAGTGACCTCGGCGGCACAGGCGCGGCGCCGGTGAGCTGAGCATCCTCAGGGTCACTGCTCGCACCGGTCGAGCACTTATTCAAACGGAGTGCAAATCGAGTTCGTCGCTCTCCGATAAACCCCTATGCAGTTGAGTGTTTTTGAACCCCAGGAACTTCCTTCACTTTCACCGGCCTCAACAATCACAGGACATCCCACCCACAACGCGGGAAACCCCTCACTGTCCTTTCCCAGCCTATCACCTCTCACTCCTTCCCCAAACATCATGAAGTGATGCTCACCTTGCTGTCGAACATGCAGGCGAGCCAGACGAGCAGCACCTCGAACACGCTCGACTTGAGCAGGGTGACGCGGTCTTCCTCAGGCAGACGCAGGAAGCCGGGCAGCTGCTTGGCAAAGTCCACCACCGCCTTGATGTGCGGTCCGAAGAGCTGAGAGTCGCGCAGACGACCGTCGCTGCCGACCACTCGTGGGCTCAGCGGACACGCCTGGAAAGGAAGAGACAGCTGTCAGTTCACAGGTCTGAGGTCACATCTAACTATAAAACAAAGCTGAGTCTTATTTTTGTAAGGTTTCTCTAGGACACCTTCCTTTGTCTGCCTCCGTGCAGCACGTGCTCGACCGAAGCCTGCTATTCGCTTAGCTCGCCCCCGCCTTCCGAGCGACCAAGGCCAGACGTGCGGTCCATCACGGAAATGCCCGATCTCTGGCCGGCCGACCGGCGTCCCCCCCCCCCCCTGTTGCACGCAGGGTCGCGCCGCCGGCTGGCGGCCCTTCTAACGGCTCGCCAATCCGCTCATTGTTTGTCAGAGCCGCGGTGACCTTTGGCGCCTCTGCCGGCCGCCACTTTTTGCTCCCGGAGCTGGCAAACAGCGTACTGTGGAACGGGGGAGTGCAGAGCGTGCTCGCCACCGCAGCAGCTCTGCTCCGATTGTATGAACGCGGCCACCAATCCGGGGGTTTCGCTTGACCGGCCGGCTCGTGCGTAGGCTCTCTGTGCCGCACTCAGCCGACGACCCGGCCGACGACGCGCAGTTTCAACAGAGTGCGTTTCATAAGCGCGAAGGTTCCCTGAAGGTCAGTGCGTGCGCCACCGAAAACATGTTTACAGCTGATCGACGCGACCGTTGATCGGGAGCGCGACGCAGCTCCGAATTTGTCCGTGCCGCCGGTGCTGCGCCGCGGCGCTCCGTGACTCGACCGGAAGCTCCAGAGCCGGTGTGAATTCACCCCACGCCTGTCCTCTACCCGGACTCTGTGGCCGCACTCTGTGCCCGCCATTGATTCGTCGACGCCGACGAGAAAGGACCTCCGCGTCGCCACCGACGTTTCGTAACGTGACCTTGGCCTTTGCCGGCTCCGTCGGCGCGGTCGATAGCACAGCCGCACGGGTGGTGCGCGGATCGGCCGACGACCCCTCCCTCCCTCCCTCCCTCCCCTCTGCCCGGGCTCATGCGATCCGAGCCAGACAGGAGAGGGGGAGGGGAGGGGAGGGGCGCCGGCAGACGGCCGGAGCGTGCCCCCTGTCTGGCCAGTCCAGATTAGGGGGCTGGCCGCCATTGAAAGGCAGGATGCCAGCTGAGCCGAACGACTTTCCCCATGGAAAGCCAGTGGTGAGGGGTTCAATTCGCGGCCTGTCCAAGGACGCGCCGCGCCGCTCGCGACCTTGAGACCAGCCTTGGCCGATTCCCGACGCTTTCAGAGAGGGGAGCAGACGGCAACTGAGCCGACAGGGGACGGACCAGCCGTCTGGTGGGCCAGGTGCACGCACCGCGCGTGCCCCCTTCCGCTCAAGGCTGGCTGGTAACCGCCGCGCGACATATGGTAATAAACTGTCTGGTCCTTTGAACTGGAACCAGAATGATGGTCTGGTTCTCATAGCCGAGAGCCGCGCCCCGGGCGGCATTTTTGCACATTTTCGCGGCCGAGCAGCCCTCTGGGGGGCCGATCGGACGGCCGAAGGTCAGGCGGGGGCCGCCATGGCCGACTGCCAAGGTCAGGACTGACGTCAGCCTCGTGGCTCCGCCGCGCCGGGCCTGCGCCGCTCGAGCTGCAGGACATTGACGCCTCACCGACCGGGGTAGGGCATGGGGTTCCGGCGTAGGGTCAGGGGTCGGATAAGGGTGTGGCGGGGAAAGGAGGGATGGCATAGTCCAGTGAGTCATCACGAGTCACGTGCTACTGCAACGCAGCAGGGGAAACCAGTTGCAAACGCAACTAATGCCCCCGGCATTGTTGCAGATCGATATAAGTAGGAAGGGTAGGTCATATTATTCCAGACCGGACAGCTTACTAGCTCGCTGCTGGGTCACGCTATTTCGGGCCGAGTGATTCACAATCCATCGGCCTGCCCCACCAGCCGACCGGACTTTGTTATCCGCGCCGTCTCGTCACCGATCCAGTTGCGAAAGATCGCACAACCGCGCAGAGTCGGCCACAATTGCGACACAGGTCAGGCAACTCGGAAGGAAGGGCGGAGAAGTATGTTCACCTCCCCCCGAATTCAGGGCAACTGCGCAAGCCGCGAAATTTAAAACGCCGTCGCATTCGCAATGATTTCGCAACCACGCCCCGGAAATTCACAGTGACTATGTTCGTTCCGCATAATTTCCTTTAAGTGATTAAAATTCACGAATAGACGACCAGTCATCATTCATCAAAATAACGATTTAAATTTTAAGAACTAAAAACTACTATTAGACATTTTAAGCTACCACCCTAATTATAATGCAATTAAGTCCCACCCGATAAAAATATCAAATATTACCGCATAAATACAAACAAAACATAAATCACTAATGCCAACACATTGATTCACACCATTTCCCCCGATTCGGTACTTACATATCCGTTGGTGGTATGGCAGTAGTTGGGTGCGCTGCGAGCCGTCTGCAGCGTGCTCGCCACCTTGTCCCAGGTGAAGTCGCAGGCGTCCATGTGCGCCTGCACGATCATGCGGATAAGCTTGCTGTCGTCCTCCAGCTCAGAGAGGAAGGCGCGCTCCTGGTACTTCTGGTTCACCGACTGCATGGCCGCCAAAATCTTGGCCTTCTCCCGCTTGGGTACGCGCCCGAAACGGACGGCTGTAAAGAGAGAGAAGGTTTTTAGGAACACGAATAAACGTTAAAAGAATACCTAACTACGGCGAGATATTTATGAGATTTTGCTAAATTCATGTTCGTAAATGTATCGAAATGGGCCTGTCGAGTTCACTGCAATACTGCACGTGATGCCACTTACACGAATATCTCCCTCCAGTTTGATCCTGCAGGATCCCCTTGAGGATCGGCAGATCATTCGATATATCCGGCACGGACTGGTCGCTACTGGTCACCCGCGGCATGGTCGGGTCACAGGTCACGGTCACCTCAGGACGCACTCTCTCTCGGCCGGTGCCGGTCGCTCTCTGCAGCACTGCACGCTCCACGCTCCGACCACGCCGCCCGGCCGGACACCACTGAACTGTGCGCGCGCCGGCACCGCTGCCGTCTAACCTTGAAACTACGGCCGGCCGCGGCGGCGGCGGCGGCGGCGGCCGGGGACGGGCCGACGGCCGCCCTCAATAGGCATACGGGGCGAGCAGGCCGCGGCCGCGGCGGCCACTCACAATCGCTGACCCAAATACTGTCCCCTCCTGCCGGTGAGCGCAACTGGGGCGCCCCCGTCAGCCCGAGAAATGAGCATGTTTTCGCGAGACCGACCCGAAAAAGAGGGCAATCCGTAGGGAAGGTGAACCCAGGTCACCCTTGTTGTCACTCTGACCAATGATGACACAATCGTTTGGATCCAGTCCCGGTAGAATCTTCGGGGTCGTATACGCCGCTTGTGCGCCCCCAGGAGCCAGGAAGGGGGAGGGGAGGGAGAGGGAGGTGGCACGCGCCAGGCGCCGCCCGCGGCCGCCGCAGAGGCGGGGATATCTTCCTAGCCACGCGTGCAGTCTCCACAGAAAGGACACCGCTCACCGGGCGTTCATAATCTTGCCGGTGATAAAACGAATACATCTACATCGAGGGAGAAGAAAGGCAAATTTGTTTACTGTCGGCTTTCAACATCGAGCCTTGTTTTCGGTGGCATTCTTCCCTGTGGGTAGAGGGGTATATAACGGCGCGGGGAGCCGAGAGGGCACGCTTTTTGCGGGCTCGGCCTTCTGCGGCGCGTGGCTTCAAGGCAGGCAGGCGGCCGCGCCGGGCGGGTGCTCAGGCGGGCTCGCTTCCGCCGAGGTCAACAGTCCCCTCCCTTCCGGGGGCGGGGGCGGGGGCGGGGGCGGGGGAGGTCAGCCGGCCACCAGGCCAGCAGGAACTGTGTAGGGCACCGGCCCCGGAAGCCAGCTCATGCATGCATGAAGCAGCGCACCGGGGACGCCGGCAGCCAACTCGAGCCGTCATGGCGTGACAGAGGACCGTTTGCAGCGCTTTGTCGATTAACAAATCGAGTTTGCAGGCAATACATAGCCGATTAAGCGACATTTGGAGGTCCCCGGCGTTTGCACTCACCCTTTTCCGTGTACCCCATCGTAGGAAGCTCGATTGGTCGCTTCGTTTTGTCTTCCTTATTCACTACCAACAACCACAAAACTACTTCACGTCTTCCACCAAGCTTCTTTTCTTGACGACTTCCTAGTTCTACACCTTCAAACAACACCCCTCTCTTCTCTGTGTGTAGCTATCACACACTATCGTCTTGTCCGAGGAGCCGTCTGTGTGTCCGCTCACCAGTCGGGGCGCCGCCTCACTACTGACCGAAACCGGTACCTACTCCGTCCGTGTGAGTACGTCGGCGGTGACGTCACGGCCACCAGTGACCTGGTAACCCGGGTTCGTTCACCCCAGCCATGAGTCAGACGACGGCCTATGAGCGCCGCCGCCGCCGCCGGCGGAGGAAAGGGTGCGAGTAGGGACTGCGGGTCCGGGCAGGGTGAATGAACTGCGCATGTAATGAAGGGTGGCTGGTGAAGGGTAGTTCGGGTGATGTATTGATTCATTGGTTGAGGAAGGTAGAATCGAGGGGCTTTGTTCTGAAAAACAAAGCGCTAAAATATAAAATGGGTTAAATGTCCAAATCTAATAAGCGGAATATGATGATCAAGCTTGAAGTGGAGACGGTCTACGCCAACTTTTCGTTTTCACAACCATTGTAGTCCGGATCTCATTTGCGATAAAATCGCTTAGATGCAACATAACCGTATAAGATCTGCCTTCGAGCCAGTTCGGCACTATGGAATGGCTGATTATAGTACCACGATAGATATAAGATAGCTCGTAGAAATCTTCAGTGGAGCTCCGGTTTAAAATCTCGCGTGATGTTATTTGACCGTTATTGGATGCCAGTTATGAAAGATAAGGTTCGGGGAATCCTAGACTGTGGTTGAGACGGACAACAAAGCTGATAATGCAAAGGTGAGTGACCGAGGATTGACGAGAGGAGAGGAGAGGAGAGGAGAGGAGAGGAGAGGAGAGGAGAGGAGAGGAGAGGAGAGGAGAGGAGGGGAGAGGAGAGGAGAGGAGAGGAAAGGACAGGGGAGGAGAGGAGAGGAGAGGAGAGGAGAGGAGAGGAGAGGAGAGGAGAGGAGAGGAGAGGAGAGGAGAGGAGAGGAGAGGAGAGGAGAGGAGAGGAGAGGAGAGGAGAGGAGAGGAGAGGAGAGGAGAGGAGAGGAGAGGAGAGGACTCCGTGACCAGACGAGACGAGGTGGTTAACCGCATGGCCCCGCCCACCCAGACGTCCCTCCCATTACACCGCCGTCCCCAGGGCGGGTGTAACGGAGCCGACAGGGGAACGACCTCGGTACACCTCTGGGCGACGCCACCCTTCCCCTCAGAGTGCCAGGAGGCTATTTCCGGCCGGGCGGGCACACTCCGCCTTCCCCAGCGCTCAGGTCAGTGACCGGCCGCCGTTCCCCATCGGAATCTCGGCGCCGGGCGGCGGCCGTGCCCCAGTGCCGTCGGCGCTCGCTCTCCGCTGCACTGCAGTCGCGGCGTTTCCGGAGCGGTGCCGAGGGTCCGCGGGTCGGTGACCGCGCTATAAGCGCGCCCGGCCGAGGGGAGGCGGTACTGTATCGACCGCAGCTGTCCGCGTCCCTCCCCGCCGCTCCGCTACTCGCCGGAGTCGGAGCCGACTGAGTCAGCGCCGTGGGTGACTCGTGCCAGTGACTCGTACCGCTGTACTAACCCAGCGCGCTGGACCGTGACCCCGCCGGGCCGCCTCTCACGGTATAACCGGCCAACTCCGTGAGTTCGGGTGGGAGTTTGTCGGGAGGTTGTACTCACCGTCGCGGCTCATGCCGACGGCGATACATTTCTTGAGCCGGCAGTACTGGCACCGGTTACGGTTGATCCTCAGGATGGAGCAGTTTTGGTTCTTGGTGCATGGCTTGTACTGGATCTTCTGCTGGATGGAACGGCGGAAAAAGCCCTGCGAAACAAAAATAAACAAGGTCAGCTTAATGTACGCTTCTGTGTCATGATTACTTAAATCTATGATTCGTCACGATATGTGATAGATGAGTTCCCACCGATCTTCCCAAATAGTCATCTCTTCACGGAAGCTCACAGCAGTCACGCCATGAGATTTACTCGCGTGCTGAGCGCGATACTGTCCCTCTCCCTCCCTCCCTATCAGATAGGTGTTTGACCCCGGTCGTCTCCCTTCCTCTCTCTTCCCCTCTCGCTCTGCAGTGATTCTCGAGAAGCTTCCCGTCTCGGCCACACGGAGCGACCGGTAACGGTGTCGGCTCTAAACAAAAACATCCCCGCCGCCGCCGCCGCCGTCTCTATCGCCGCTCGGGTCATTCTCACGCCCGTCTGGTCTCGGTCCAGAACCGGCCCAGCCCAGCCCGGCCCGGCCCGGGCCAGACCAGCGTACGGCGACGGCCCAAATGGGCTCGTGTCACTTCAAGTGACAGGGAGAGTGTGCTACTCGCGAGCCGGGTCGCGGCCCACTTGGACTAAACGGGCGGCGGCCCAGGCCACCCGCAGAGGGATGGGAGGGCCACAGACGGGACAGGGGATCAGTAGGGTGAGGTGGTGACATACTTTGGATAGATTGAGGTAGAGAAGGAGACAATGTGTTCGGTGAGACAAGATGATAGCAGGACAGGTTTGAGAAGGATTGATTTGGAATGTTGATGTAGTGAGGTCCGATAACATATCTGTGAACTGAATAAGCTAATGCGAACAAGTAATCCGTGAACCATTTCAGTAATTGACCGTCTGACTTCCGGGGGCAGGCAGATGGCACGGGCAAGCACCTCGGGCTCACTTCCCGCTCGCTAGACCGACACCAATGGTCCCCATGTCAACGACTCCGCGGCCGGCGCCCAAGGCTAGAGCGGCGCAAAACCGCATGGTAATAACCCGAGCTCGGCAACAGCGCACCTGCAAAAACGGCACGCCACCGGGCGCCGGGTTCGCGCGGCGTTCTCGGTGAACTGACCCCCGTCGGTGCAGAGGGGCGCTGGACTGCACGGCAGACTGTCATGGCCGACGACCCGGATAGCCACCTCCGCCCGGCAATTAGCCACAAGTGCTCGCCGCCCTCGTGTGATACCATTTAGAAGGAGGAGGAACCCGTCGGTCGATGCCCTTGACACTATTCACCGGCGCTGCGGCGGAGGACAGCGCTGGCGGAGCCCGACTGCAGCGCCCTCTGTGCAGTAGCGCGACCTCAGCGCCACCTAGACCACCCGAGCGTCCGAGTCCGTGTCGCTGAACTCCGTTGTCCAAGGACAAATCGGCCTTGTTCGCCCGCTCCACCGTGATCTGCACTTCTCCAGCACTGCTATTTCAGGACCAGACGCACAAACACGCATTTCAGCGCATTCCACATCCCTCCCTCTCCTCCATTCCCCTCGTGACCGTCCGGACTCCCTCCAGCGACCTGCCGCTCCCCGCTGCCCGCCGGGCGAGGGCCGGCTCGGGTTCCGCGGCGCCAGTGAACAGTGCCCTTCATGACGGCGGCGATTCATGGTCAGCCGAGGGCACAGTGGCCGGGTTGAACGACTGCGCCCGGTCTGGCCTTGGACGGCCCGTCGGGCAGTCGCTGACCCTGGCAGTTCAACCTCGCCAGTCCCACCTCGCGGCACATCCTCCTAACCGGCGCACGCGGACCGGCCGGCCGGCCGGCCGGCGCACCCAATGTCACATGGCCGGCGAGGGAAGGCGGAAATGTGCGCCGGCCGCGAGAGGAAGCGATTTGAAATGAGCCCAAACGGGTTTTTGTGGTATACGGCGATTTGTGATACGCTTATCGCGAATGTGTCGAGAGAGGAAATGACAGACGTCAAACTAATGACCACCCGGAATATGTTTAAACTAATTAACACCTTTGAAATAGTTAACTTTCCGGCTTTGGTTCGATGATTATTTCACTGATTTCTATTTATCATTTATTGCCTCAAGAATTGCCCCGAACAAAATTGTTTACCACCAACATCAATCAATAAATGGAAAAGAAAAAGACACAACCAAATAAATGTCTCCTTCTTCCCGGCAATTGTTTGGATTCCGCGTGGTATTGTGAACAAGGAAGTGTGCCCACAGGCAGCTCCAATCGGACGGGCGATAGGAATTTTCCTGTCCCAGGACACACCAGCTACGACAGCCAGGCTGAGCGACAGCAAGCCTTATTGAAACAGATTTTTGGAGCTCTCCTAAAAATGGTCCCTCCACTGCCCCGTTAAATTGGTAACTCAACCCACAGTCCCGAACAGCTGTCTAAAACACACCAATCGGCGGGGCGCACTAGCAGGGTAAGGGATCCACAACCGAGCAGCGAGCCATACAACCGAGACACCTTACAATGGGAGGGTTTGGAAACCGGCAAAACGGAGAGACAAGTGCTGAGGGGAGATCGTGGACTCACCTTGCATCCTTCGCAGGAATGGACTCCGTAGTGGAATCCGGATGCCTTGTCCCCGCACACCTGGCAGAGAACGGTGGTTCCATCAAAATCTGAAACAGAAGAGAACAGCCATCAAGAACTAGTCGAGATGCTTGAAGTAGTTAAGCTGAAACGGTATCACCGGAACACCTGACATTCGAAGGTGTCAATCATTCGGAACGTGCCAAATAGCTCCGAGCGGAAAGTGGAAGCTATTGTGTACGGCAAGGCCAGATCATACATCCACTCGCCGGTAATCGCCGACATGTCGGTGAAAAACGTCACCCCAAACCGGGAAATACAAAGCAAACAACACGGCAAACAGACAATATCTGTGACGCAAATCGCCAGGTTTGTGGCATGAAACCAGTGGCCGACATAGTTTACCAGAAGTCGCCCTTTCACTGGAACTTGGTACACGATCAGGGTCGCTATTCCACTCTGCATGCCCCAGTCCCGGGGGCTGCTTCTGTGATCATTTCCGGCGTCAATATCCCCACTCCCCTAACACTCCCTCATGACCCCTGGTGCCCTCCGGCGCTCCGAGGGGAGTCGCGAGGCCGCGCTATTCTGGTCGGCGCGTGCGTTCACCCCGGCGGCTGCGTTTTTGTGCGTGCGTTCACCTGCGCGTCTATGCGCCGGCCGTTGAACCGTCCATGGGAGGGAGGGAGCCCGCCGGTAGGGCGGCGATAGAACGCGTGCGATATATTGATCGGATAGTGCGTGGGGTAGGCGTATAGGAAGAGGGAGCTGCGAGGGTGGGCGCGGTGGTATTGATTGTGTGCGAGCACGTGCCCGCATTAGACGCTCGGTACGAGCGGACAACACCGCCGCTAGAGTCAGCTGAAGAGAGCTGATACCGAGCGCCGTCAGCAGTCATTTCACAAGTCCCGATCAGGTTCAATGCAAGAAAAACACAAATACCAGCACAGGAAATCACCAAAGCTGACCACGTATCGTACCTAGAACCGGTGTGCCCCCTCCGCGTAGGTCCTGAGTGGTGCTGGACACATAGCCAGCCGGCTCCGGGCTCAGGCTAAGGCTGCACATCGCTCGCCGTCGTGTCTCCTACACGGCACTGATCACACTGACAATATCTCCCACTGTAGCGCGCCTGGTCACGCACACCGTGCCGTCCACAGCGGAGCGTCGCAGAAGCACAACTCGCGATAGTGAAAGTCCGAATGAGACTGCATGAAAATTTGCCATCTGGTAATGGAGCGGCGGCGGGCGGCGGCAGCGGCGCGGCGGGCAGGTGCCGGCGGCGCCGCCCGGCGAGCGCTGATTGGTCGCCGCCGCCGAGGAAGTCCATTGAACCAGGGGCTAGCCTTGATCTTGGAGGCGACCAGTCGACGAGCGGCCGCTCGCCGACCAAGGCTGAACCGCCAGGAAGGGCTGGCAGGCCTTGAACGCGAACCACGCCGGGGCACCGGCCGGCTAACCCGTCCCGAAAATCGCTTCCGCTTGGCGTCCCACGCGGTCGGCCGTTTTAGAAGGTCGAACGAACGCCCAACGCACTCTTCCTGTTGTGCGAGACGAGATGATGCCATCCAGAGCCGCCGATGGCATTGGGCGAGGTGGAAGGACAGGCGCGCCGCTGGTTTATGTTATAGATGCTCTTTTCCTGGTTTGAAGGCGACATGTGGGCGGTTATAATTGAGAAAAAGACGGATCTTCCCATAAAACAATGCGTGGACTCATTGTCGATACAGAAGCAGAGTACATCAACTAAATTACTCCAAGGATAGGTACCATTGGATCCAATGCAAGTGACCGAGAAGGATATCAAGAATGACAAAATAGTCGGCGCTGCAGCTTATGTCATATGTAAAAACAAAAAGGATAAAGTAAGTTGAAGTGGTACGTCGGAAATAGTGCCACGATGAATGCAGCTTACGCACAATGCCGTATGAGCACTTTCGACTCATCCGACTTTCAGAGAAACCAGAATACTATTTTTAAAGTCACTGATCTGACGGCTTCACTTGTCGAGACCAGACAAAAAACAGGCGAGCAAGCAGTCCCGACCGGTCAGTGAAGACATCAAACTCAAAACGCACATCACATCTGTGCCGTATCAAAATTCACCCGCAACGAGAAGTAGAGCACAAACAGCGATTGCCACACGCATACATCAAACAGCCCTCGCTTTGCAGACCGATAAAAATAGCCTCTGCACTCGTCCAGTCGTCTGCAGTGCGCCGCTGCGGAGTAGCCCACATACGCACAGGGCCGGCGGCGCCCGTCGGGCCCGCAGTGGGGTAGGATGACGGGCATAACACATTGCACAACCCCGCTCGACAGTTCCGGTCCGCCCTGCCAGGACGGGCCGAGGTGAAGCGAGAAAAACACCCGGTTATGCCGGCTGACCGCGGGCCAGCCGTGAAAAGCCCGGCCAGCCGGCGCAGGGTCGAGTTTCAGTTTCGATTGGGAAAGTGAGGCACGCACTACGCAGTACGCATTTCACTAGTGTATTTTTAGCAGCTAGTGCAATGTAAAGAGAAGTACTGATTCGAAGTATGCGTACGTTATTGGTATTTCCCATATGCGTATGGGGCTTATTTCACGTGTTTCTGAGAAACATAAACAAAAGATAAAAACGCACTCTAATCAAAATAGCAATGTGATTTGCAGAATGATTGTGGGTGAAATATCTGAATTTCTCAGTTTTCCTCTATTGCATTACACTGAGCCACGTCCGGTATTCAAAACAAAACGATCGTCAACGAACTCAATGTCATTGATGTCAGCCAACCCGGAACAGTTCCGGCTACCCCACTGACAGATCTGTCGACCTTGTGCGTGTCCCCACGCACTGCCGTGTTGAAATCGAGAGCGGCGATCCCCCTCCCCTGCCGAACTATGCACCGCATCAATATTGCACAACCCTGGGGCTGCAGTGTGGGCGTGCCGAGCGGCTCGTACGCATAAACATAGCTCGGAGGGGTAGTTTGACCAGCAGCGCAGACAAACAGACAGGATGAGCAGGATAGGACAAGGGGCAGAAACGAGAGGAGACGAAGCGACAAGGGCGTGGCTTGACAAAGAGCGATGCAGCGGCGACGAATTGTTTTCGCTTTCCTGGGCTGTTTAGAAATATGTAGATGTGATGGCTTGTGAGAAGAACGAAGGAAGAGCGACGAAAAGAGAGGAGGAGAGAGGATGGAGAACAGGAGGCAGAGCGGTGAGCGGCACCTGGAAGCCGTGGGCCGGCCCGGGTCACGGTATTTCCCGGTGGTGTGGCGCAGTGTGACCGTGGCGCGACTGCTGAGACCGGCCTGACCCGTCCCACGCCGCCATCCGATCACAGCTGACGCATCGCCGAGTTCGGCGTAGTGCAGCGCCTCGGTGACCCAGAGTGGCCGGTCGGACCGGCTCGACTGCGCTGGAGCGCTACACAGCCGGCCAGGCCAGTTCCGCGTACAGGCAGCGTGATTCAGGGGCGCCAGACCGCGTCGCAAGTGACGCCGACGCGCCACACCATGCTACCGTGCAACATTGGCCGCGGTGCGTCGTGATCGTTCGCCTTTCGTCGTCAGTGTCGGTCATCGCCGAGCTGCGTAGTAGCGTGGTGTAACTGGGACAAGCGGTCATCGAAACCGCCCGAGGGGGAGCGCGTAGGTCACCTTCGCCAGCCGACGCAGTGAGGGTGAAGGGGGGAGGAGGGAGGGAGGGAGGCGTCCAGCAGACGGGGTGGGGAGGATCGACACGACGCTGTACGCCCGAGGGATGTTGGATACGGTGGGTGGGCTGAGGTGGGGTTGCTCAATCTCGTCCCAAAATAGGCCAGATACGTGCAGATAAGATAACCAGATTTTACCGGAATAGATCACAATGAATGCTAAATGTGGAACAATAGGCATCGAACTTCCGAGTCTTCCTTGCATTCGCTCTATCTAAAAGTGTTACATAATGGCTAATATCAGTCGTAATATATCAAGGCATTCTTTTAGTTGACTTTGAAATGTCTCTAGTTCGAACACTTGGTCGTTACGGTTTTTCATTATAAAGGCTAATACTTCGGAAGTCCCTTTGTTCATAATTGTCTACTCTGAAATATGTCGGAATGCATTCCGTACCGATATCCATGATCCGGTATAGCTGCAGGTCCGCAATAACTGACCGTTTTGAGCAGAAATCAGTCTGCCATCGCCCGCAACCCGCTCTGCCTCCGGTGTACAGCGGTGCCCTTATCCATAAAAGGACACTCTGCACCCCGACCCGTTAACATTTGGCGTGAGAGGATGAACTTGAATACTGCACTAAACCGTTTCTCGGTCAATGACAGCTGAGGGAAAACGGGGACCCTTCAGGGGACCCGGAAACTTCAGAGCTCGACCCATCGGTTTCGCAGCGCCGGTGCCTCCAGAGAAGTCTCACTTTTTAAAGCGGTCGTGTCATTATCAGTCGTATCGCGCGGCGCCGGCTGACCTGACCGGGTGACATTGAGGAGCGCCCGCCGTCGGTCCCGCTAACATACTGCGCCGGCCAGCCGGCCGGCCGAGCCGGGCCCAGCTAATCTGTGGCGGTGGGCCATACACCCCGCCGCACATCGGTGCACGTTTAACTGGAACTAAAGTTCGCGCTGAGGAGAGGGGCGCACCTCACAGAGGTCACCTTCCATGACCTGTGTGCCGACCCAGACTGTCCTACTGCCTGGCCTCTGTGCCTTATCGGCCACTCTGGAGCGCAAACAGCGAGCCATTTCTGTGGAGGGCATTTGAAGAGCACGTAGAAAATAAAAGTTGAATAACCGCGACGGCAGCGCGGTCGCCACTTCCTCAGTCGGTACCACATAATGGGGTCAATGTCTCTCGCAGCCACTGCCGGCAGCCAACGGCAGGCCGACGTGGTCCGCGCATGCGCACTGCGGCACTTCAGGTTACACAAGGACGTCAACCCGGCTGAGAATACTGCGCCAGATGGCGCTGAGGGTAGCGGCGGAGGAGGTCCGACGGCCGGAGCGGAGGAGGCGGGGCGGGCGGAGGAGGAGTGGGCGGCTGACAGGAGTTTGGAGGCCACAGCAGGCAGACGGCGGGATGAGACGGCCGCGAGAGGCGAAGGACGCGGC